GGGCTCGCCGATGGAGCGCGGGGGTGGAAGACACTGGTGGGCAGCGGATTCTGTTTCAGCAGCAGCAGCCCCTTCTCCGCCTCTCCTCCCTCGCGGCGGGGGGGCCTTGGATTGGCCGCTCTTTGCTCTCTCTGGGGTGCGGCCTTGACTCTGGAAATCCTTTTCTATGCCAAATAAGCAGGGCTGCTTCAATCTCGGCGGGAGGTCCAAGAATGTTACAAAACGTGTGTGGCAAAGACATGCTAATAAAAAAAATAATGTCAAAGTTGTATTCCTGCTTTGATCGCAAAAATGTTGGGGCACAATAAAAAGGAAGGGGGTGTATTGTGGTGTTTTGTGACCATATATGCTTTCCCCACCAATGAGGCAGGGAGTGCATCTTGTGGTACACGCAAAATTTGAATTTCCCTGTCGCCACAGCAGTTTGCGGGCTTGAGCCACTCCGAAAGCCGTTGTCGTTACTTTCCCATATACTGCCACCAGAATGTTCATGGCCATGGTGCCGATTGCTCGATTGTCCAGGGTCCTCACCAGCCATCTGGTCCAGTATTCCAAGGAGTTTGCAGGCTATCCCTTGTACTCGGTGCCCCGCTGCTGCTCCTTTGCCGCCACCCACCCAAAGGCTCGGCACCTCAACTGTTGCTCGCCCCATACGTGCCCGGACTGGCTGAGGTCGTCGGTGTCGCCTCGCCCAGGGCGGGAACGTGCAAGCGGTGCAGGCAGCTGTGCAAGCAGTGCAAGCAGTGCATCTCGGACCATTTCGCCCCGCAAACAATTTTTTATCTGCTCTGTTCTGGCCTTTAAGCCCCTTCACAGAGTTGGAAGCCCTGGAGGTTTCCGGAAAATTTCCGGAAAAATTCAGGAAAAAACAAAAAATTCCTGACTTTGGAAATTTTCCGTTATTTTCCGGGAAATTTTGGAAATTTCCTACCCTACCCCTCTCTCTAGTTCGACTATATTTAAACTCTTTTGTGACACATTTAACAAGAGTTAAACGTTTCCCCCATCTCTCTGCGACAAGTCTCTGGAGCGCTGTACACTCCAGCTCGGAGAGCTGCGAGGGCGCGGCTGGGCGGCCCGGAAAAGGGCGGTCAAAGGATGCCTTTCTTTGTGTCCAAAGCGCGAAAAGAATACAAAATTGGCCGCTCGCATGAATACGGACTGAAAAGAGCCGCGGCGCGGGGTGTGTCCCAGGGGGTTTCTCTCTCTCTCTCTCTCTCTCTCGCTCGCTCGGGGCCACCATCACGGTTGTGTCCTGGTGCTGCCCCTCGGCCCCACAGAACAATGATCGAGTTAGATCCGCTGTTGTCCTCACGCGAATTGGATTCTTTATTTTTTCATTTGTCTTTTTTTGTTTTTCTCCTTTTGTTCTTGTTATTTTCTTCTCCTTTTGCGGTGGGCGCTGCTGGTATTAACCCGCCCTGCTCCCCCGAGTGAACCGCTAGTCACTCCATCCGACACGACGATATACGTGTTTTTTACTCTTCCGTTTTTATCTCCGGGGAGTAAAATATTTAATAACGGCATTCACCAGCTCCCTGCTGGTGATATATGCAGGCGGAACGCAGAAGTGTGCGTGAGGTAAAAGTTTCATGCGGCTTCATTTTAACTTCTGCGCTTTATGCGTGTTTTTTTATGGTATATCATGATTAGGCGATGAAAGGCGTATCTGTACAACACATATCGTTTTCACTAAATCTTGAAAAATAGGCCTACGTATTTACTTGTGCCAAAAAATTTGCTCTCTTTTTTTTTTCGCTAGAAATTTAAGTATAAAATTTTGCATGATCGCTAATGACGCGCGAAAGACAAAACAATAACCCCGGCCGCCGCCCCCTTTTCCTTTTGCGGTCGCGTGCTGAGGGAGCAAAGAGCTAGGCCCCAAAGCTATTGAGCGGGGTAATTAATATTAATTAGTTTAAACGGCATCAATCATTTCCTCGGATAACTAATAGCCGGCGGCCGGCGAGTGATCTGCTCTGTCTGTCAAACACACACGCACACACACGCACATACACGCGCGCGCGCGCACACACACGCACACACACGCGCGCGCGCGCACACACACGCACACACACATGCGGTAGGTCAGCAGGAGCTGTGGCACAGCAGGAGGACCACAGGATTATGACCTGTTGCCGTTGCCCCTGGAACCCTCCTGGAACCCTCCTGGAACGCGCTCCCTGCGGCGAGGTGCTTGCCTACGCCGCGTCGGGCCACGTCCTCTCAGATGAGGGATGAGCCTTGTCTTATTCTATCCAAAGCCGCGCGCCGAAAGAAGATCGAGGAGAAAGGGAAAGGGGGGAAAAGGGGAGGGGGGAGGACGGGAAGGTGGGTACAGTAGGGGACCCTCGACACGATATACTGTTTGTCTTGTCTATCTTCCGAGGGAAGCGAAGTTTGACGTCCTGGCGGAGCCCTCTTTGTC